TTTTTTTTTTTCTGAAAAACAATAAACTAAGGTTAACTAGAACATCGATCTACTACACACTGTCTACCAGTTAGGTATGTGGATTGATAACGGTGACCAGTAGTTCTTTCCAACTGCGGCAGTTTATTGATGGCCAAATGCAGAGAAGGCATCGCTAACAGTGCTACACAGTTTTTCTGATGTTCGTTCCTGCCCTAGAGGAATATTCGCTTGTTTCCTCCTTTTTTTTTTCTTCTCGAAACCCTATTATAAACATCAGATGTTGAATATCAGCCATACGAGATCGACCAGAATCGTCGAGATGTTTAAGCGATGATTTGCTGCTGCTTGGCGCGCAAAAGGAAAGAAAGAAAAAGAGAGATAATAAGGAATCGATCGACATGCATTCCGAAGCGATTTCTGTTCAGATGCGCCTGTATTTCGCATCGTTTCTTGCTCGGCTGTCCAGCCGTTAAGTTTCGCCAACATTTTGAAGAAAACAACGAAAGGCGACAGCAGCGAAAAAAACAGTAAAAAATTGGTTAAAGAAGCATTTATCTGTATTACTGTTGTTGTTCGCGCGCATTATCATTTTCGTTGTCCAAGAAACCTTCTTTCAACTTATCCTTTTTTTTTTTCAGGAATTCATATTTTAAATAACTGTTCATCATCAACAAAACGAGAAGAGAAGAGGTGAATTGAGGAAGAAGGAGAGGTGACAGAAAGAATAAAAAGAACAAACTGTTTTTTTTTTCTCCAATTCCAATAAATTAGCTATTGTTTGAACAGACTTTGGTGGCTTTTCTGAGCTTCAGAAAACCCACAGTGTGCTCAGAAGTCTTGGCTTATTTTTGCCAGTTTACGGGTTATCATCGTTGACTGCTGGATATCATTAGCTGTGATGGTACTCGGACAACAGGCTCGTTTCTGGCTCCTAAACTGTTGCGTGTCTCCGCAGTCAGAAGTTAGTCATTTATTTAATTAACCAAACTTTCTTGATCTTTCGCTTTTTCCCTCTTTCTGCTGTTTTATATTAGTTATATCTAAAATTGAATGTAGTTGTGTTAAAGAAATTTGTTTTTATTTGTCTCCACTGTTTCCTGCAATTCGTAGTGCTTGTTCTTTTCTTTTTTTTTTTTTTCATGACTTTGATAGTCCTATAGTAGAATTTGGTGCATAAATTGTATTAGCCTATAAATCATTTTATTGGAATCATTAAAATCTGAAATGGAAAAGCGTTCTTTATTTATCGGTATTCTTATGATAGATGAAAATTTAGTTAACCTAATAATTTAGGTTTCAAATTTTTTTTAAATGATTCCTCAGCAATCACTTTTATTACACTAACTTTCTTTTCGTTTTCTAAGAAGAAATTTTACTAGTTTTTCTGTTCATTCTTTTCACAACTGTTGCGAAACAATACTGAGGTATGATTGACCTTCATAAGGCATTGTTTTTTCTTACAAAAATGGCGTCCAGTAAATCTTTTAAAGTTAATCATTACCTGCGTAATTTCATTTTAGATCGCTCGTGTTCGAATCGACCGATCTATGATAGGACAGCCAACAAATTTTAGGCACATTGGTCATATGGGAACAAATGATTTGAGTTCGGCATTTAGTGTCAGTTTTTTCACATTTTTTGCTTTACTTACTAGAAATGTGAAATAGCAGTTTTCATTTTGACACTTTTTTGTTAAGTACAGTCGTCGAATGATGCATGAACTAGAAAACAATTGAACTATACTTTTTGACTATTTTTGATTAATTTTGGGACATCTGATGCTCATATTTTTTCTTCAAAAATTTTTGAACAACGTGTTGCATGGGAAGTCTGTTATTATTATTGAAAAATGCCAATTAAATGTCTTAATCTTCTTGCTCATAATACTTTTTTGCTTTCGCACTCTTTTTTTTTTTTAAACGTATTTATGTTTATAACTTTTTTTTGCTATTTTTTATGCCATCTATGACTTTATTTTGTTGACCGGGTTCTCATTAATTGGGCAATATAACCTATAAAAAGTAGTTTTCTAGTATATTACTTTCAGATAGATGAGGCTAGCTCTTTGTTGCGTTCAAAAGGCGGTGATGTTCAATCGTCGCCTACCCCTGATCAAGTTCCTGCCAATGATATTCCTGTTAAAGGTTTGTTGTTGGAAAACGATTTTTAAACTTGAAACCTATCAGCGGTTGTTGAAGGTCGAATGGTTTTTACATGGCTTTTTGTTTGTTAAAGCAGTGTTAGGATCTTGTTCTGGCAAAATGTTCTCAGTCTTTGATTAAGTTTACAAAATATTTTGTTTTATTAATGAAGTCTTTTTCAAGTAGGTCTATGGATGCTAATTATTTTGTTATTGATATTTTTGACTACATTTGTATATTTAAACTTCCCGTTACTATCAGATTTTCAATTGGAAGAATGGTGAATGTTAATGTCATAGGCAAACAATTTCTAAAAAACTGCTAATTAAACAAGAAAAGGACAGTTTTTTACTTTAGATGACAAGGCAGTGGTAGGTTCCAGTTCATGAGCGGGTTGCGTGCATTATTATAGCAGCTAAGGAAGAAAGAATAACATTAAGAAGAATTCTTAATAAAATTTTGTCGGTGTTTTTGAATTTGGAAAAGTATTTGAATTTCTTTCATTGCAGAAGGCTTATCATTTTTTATTATACTTTCATTTGGCGCTCACCAGCTATAATTTTCTGCATTTACGACTGATTTTATGTTATCATAGTATGAAGGTCAAGCGCATCCGGATATATTACGGCACAAGCTTTGTTTTTTATTTAACGTATAAAAAAACTAGCGAAATTAATTCTCTATGAAGTTATCTTGGAATTTCAAATTTATGGAGCCAACGGGTTTTTTCCTTTTTCATGCTTGGATTTTCAGCAATTTAACAAATGCACTGGGATTTAAGTTAATTATTTCGTCTTGTGCGTCCGTGAAGTTTTTATTTTTTTTTTTTTTGCCGTTAAGTTGCAGCAAATGCTTCAATTAAGTTTGCATCATTTTCAACACCATTAATTTTTCTGTATGATATTAGCTAAAAAATGGTGCTTTTAAGATGTTTTAGCATGAAACCGTTATAAACCAGGTTTTGTTATATGATGCTTATTCTTTACGCTACCTTGTTGGCATTTATATTATTTCACTAGAGTCGTATTTCTTTCTTCTTTGCCTTGTGAAATGGATGAACGTGTAGAACTTTACTACATGTAATGAGAAGTTTACAAGATACGCAGTTAGAAAATGACAGAGCCTTAAACTTTCCAACTATTTTATTAAACATCTTAGTAGGAAATGTTACTACTTTCAAGGTGTTGTCAAATCGATATTGTAGTTTTTTGATGTCGATATTAAGTTCTAAGTCATTTGCGTGTTTCGTAAACTTCAATTGTCTATCAAATGTACTATATTGTTGCTGTATGTACCTAGCTGCTATAACCAATTAAACAGATGTGGGGAGAGACAATTCTACATTGTTTTCGGCTAGTTAGGGTCAGGTATTTTGGGAACTAAAAAAAGGATTCAGAAGTGTGCAGCAAGAGTGCAGCGATATACTCGCATATAATAATGTTCTGTGTTACTTGGTTTTTATGAGGAAATACCAGACGTTTTATTGTATAAAATGTGTAGTATCAATTTGCTCTTTGTTGTTCAAAATAAATGAAAATATGATTCTAATGTATTTTCACTTGTTAAATAAAAATGGAAAAAGGATTTTAAAGTAAGTGTTACTAAGTTTTATTGGTATTTTGGGTTAGAGCGGTCGATAGAACAGCATTTGCAGGTAGTAATGTGTCTTGGGTAGAAATAACTGAGGCCAGCATTCTTGAGGTAAAAATATTCAGCGGTCTCGGTAAATTGGCTGACGTTGCCTGCTTGTATCTTAAGGTGGCCTTGTAGAATCTTCACAAGGTTATTACGCCACATTGACGAAAGGGGCAGAAAAAATGCCTTGGGTTATCAATCCGTGTCAGGACCGGCACTCTTCCGGTAGCTGAATTAACGTTCAAAGAAAAAGCGGTTTTTTTGAACATTAATTCAGCTATCGGAAGTTTCACAGTTTCTAGACGCATACTGGGATAGTCCGGTGGATGTAAAGCTTCTTAATTACTTTCTAGACATCCGGGAATATCAGTTGCAGATCTTAACATGGTGAAATTTTCTATCACGCCAAGGAAAGTTGAAAATCTTTGACACTATTTTATTTTAAACTGCTCTTTAGTGTGGCAATTTACTGAAGTTTTCCTGTACATCCACGTCACCTTACGTAAATTTTTCAAATAAAGTTCAGCACAGTTATATATGGACGCAAGATAATAGTATCAATATTTTTGAATTCATCGTAGTAATGTGTGACCACACCGAAATCACATTTAATTGTCCTAAGACAAAGTTAAATGCACCTTTGAATAAAATTTCGTCTGAGACTAAATACGAGGTCTAAAAAAATATTTTTTGACAAATTTCCCAACTAAATTGAAGGACAAGAGAACAAATTATTAAAACCTTGAGCGGTCTACAATTTCCTCATCAGCAGGAGCTTTTGCAGTCGGCTATTATCAACGCTGCTCCCGAAGTTCTGTCAAAACAAGTATGGTTTAAAGCAAAAATGTTATTAAATTACTGTTTAAACTTGCCTTAGCTGATTACCTTAGCTATTTCCTTTATGATCTACCGAAAAGATTGGCAATGATTTTAACAGTTTTGCTAATGAAGCACCTGCTTCAAACTCATTGCCTATCAGCTGTAACAACACCACTGTTAACTTCTTCGGATTCACCGAAAGATCTTAATAATCATGCAAACGTTCTCTTTTTTTTTTGTACATTAAATTTAACGGGTGTAAAAAGACACTGGAAATAAAAAGAGGTTTGACACATTTTCTAATGTATTAAACGTGTAGAATTGCCTCGTAAATCCAGAAGACAAATGTTTGTTTCGCAAAAAAGAATCGTACAGTGCGTTTTTCCTGCATTGGAGGAAATAACGGTTGAAAAATGAATAAAATGACTGCCCCTTTTGACTACAATGAAAAAAGATAAAGTTAGGATTATAGCACTAATTGTATGATGAGAACCTGTTAAAAGCGCAATATATTTTACATCATTTCTTTTATCCAAGTTTAGAATTAAAGCGAGGCTACCCGTCCTTTCTAAACTCTTTATTCGGGTTACAAAATTTCACATGTGTTTTTTGTTTCCTGCTTTTTTTTATTTTGCAACTATTACCTGACGAAGGTTGTAGACAAGCTTTATTCTTACACAGCGTCAGTCTTTTTGATAGTAAGTCTAATAAGCTAAGTAGTTTTATGTCGTCAAAAATAAGGGTGCAGTAGTGCTTAAAATTTAGTGAACAAAAATATTTATAATGAAATGCAACACTCACAGAAACTGAAAATTAAAAAAGCTGGGACTTTTTGATATTACATTCCTCACTTACTGATTTTGGCATCTTACTGTGAAAACAATTAGGCAAGATTCTCACGAGGAAATGCGATAAATTTTCGTAGTGTAGTTGTGGTGAAACTTGTTTCTCTTCCTACAGTACCTTGTTAAAGGATAGACTTCTAGTACAGGTTCTAACAAATCTTTATATCTTCTAATACTGTACACCACTTGCAATTGGTCTCTAGTAACTACAACCTGAAATCTTATCAGTCTACTGTCTGCTAATGTCGGAAATTATTCTCTTACTACTTACTTCAGATTCTCTCAGTCAATTTAGACTCTACAACTCAACTCTCTAGGTTTGAAAGCATAGAATTCACTTCTCGGTTTAACTTGTCTGCGTAAAGCTATTTCTTTTGAATTTAAATGTCTAAGCAAACGTGGTTTTGGAATCACGTAAGAAAATTAAACTACTCAATTTTAGTAGGGGAAAAAATGCTTTTAAGAAAAACAAGAATGAACTTGAGATTGAGTAGAATAATGACGAGTATAGAAAGAAACTATTGCGAATAATTCAATGAGACTACGAATGCAGTCTTACAGAACTTAAAGGTTGAAAAGTTGAAACAAAGGAAATAAATGAAACCGATATCCAATTGAATAATAAAACTTAATAGTCATTGTCTTCTAGAAACGAGTTGTATAACGTAAACCAATCTCCAAAATGTTAGAAGAAGAAGCCTCAAACTACAGAAAGGAAAGGTATCAATAACAGTAGTAACAATCATTAGGAGTGATAACAATTTGCTTTATCTAGGTTTTTATATCCTCTATTTTGAGGGAGATGAAGAGATCTTAATTTTCCTAAAAAGATTTGCATAAAAAAGGAGGTAGCCAAACAGGTTTGTTTCTTGTTTTGACAGGTAGCCTTAAACCTTCGCTCAATTACAACAGTAGTAAGGGTAGTAGAAACTAGAGATCTTTCAAATCGATGAAATTTTTTATTTTTGTAATCAGCTCAATTGGTAGATTCGAATATGGCAAAAATAAAAAGTACTGTACATTTTTCAAGTTACCGCTTTATCACGACAACCTTCAGGTAATCTCAAAAAGCTTCCCCTTCCGTAACAAGAGTTTTTGAGGTGAGTAATAAGGCAGTTGTAAAAAACCAGAGCAGGAATATAAAATACAATTCACAATGGCTTCAACGATTCGGAAACAACTGTCAATGAATTTTTTATAAAATGAGAACGAGATGAAACACTTTTTTTGAGCAAAGTAAAGAAACAGGTTTTATTTTTCGTTGCTTTTAACACTATCGGGCTGACACTTTTCTATTTTTACTTTTACAGTCCTAAAGTATATAGCCTTTTAAAATGCCTTTCATCTGAGTAGATTTTATTAATAGAGGTGCCGTACTTTGTTATCGATAAATTGGTTTGTACTAGATCATTCTACCACTGAGTTATAAAATTGATTAGACAAGAGATAGTAATTTAGGTTGGCTTTATCCAGAAGCGACGACGGACCTATAGTTATATGCGGTTAGCAAATGGAAAGAACTTTTTCTTTAACACTAAAATTTTTATAATAATAGCAAAAATTCATTGTAAAACTTAGTTGTGCAAATGAAATTTTTTGTTTGGTAAATAACATTAATGTAAGGAACTTTTCTAGTCTCGAAATAATGAAGAATTATAAGAGTATGTCTGCAAATCGCTGAAGCCTTTTTCAAAAGAAGTTTTAGCCGCCCCTTTTGTTCGCTAAGGAAGCCTTGTTCTGCCCTTTCAATTTATAAAATTATTACTGTGAATAAATGTACATTAAGCTTTTTTTTAACATACTTTAATTCGCAAAATCCGATGTAAGAGTTGAATTTGTTTGAATCAAAAAAACAACCAGTTTTGATTTTCTGTCATCAAGTTTCAAAGAATTAATTTAAGCCTCTAAAGAAAGGAAAAGGCAGTAGTTTTGCGGGTTATTTGCAATTGATAATGCTAAAATTACGCTAGTCTCTAATGAATTCGAACAGACAGAAAATCCAGTAAGAGAGGTATATGGAACAACGGCATCGGAATGAAATTTCCTGCCTTTTCTGCGGTTTCTCGGAGCGTTGTCTAGTTACTTATAAAGGCCTTTTGCAGCGGATCTTACCAGGACTCAGTCCAACAAAACAATTCTCAACGAGAAACTATCGTCTTACTTTTCCCCCATGCAGTCAGCCCATACATCGTCCCATTAATAAACGAGAATAACGGCAGGTATGCTGGCACATACTTCTCTCAGCGCAAGAAGAATCATTCGATAATGGTCTCCAATTATAGTCTCCCTCCGTTACATAAACTTAAGAAGCCGACTGTATTTCCTGTAATGAGTTCAACGTTTTAGCGTTTCAAACATAAGAGAATCGACTGATACCAGTGTCCGACTCAAACCATCTAGCGTTCCGGTCACATCCGCGAGCAAAAAGGGTTTCCATTAACAATGCCAACTGAATTTTGACTGGCATACGGCTCATATTATCATAAGTTAACTGATCAAACTGGCTCATGTGCACAGGAGTGAACAATTGATATTGGTGTTTCACTGAAGCAATTCCCGAGCAAATCTTCGTTGTGTAAATGATTTCCATACGCATGACCGATTGAGTGATAGCCGATATGCACCTCATGTTGACACTTGCCAGGATGACCGCAACATGTGAGTCTAAGCGTCAGAAAACGATTAGTATCAATGTTTCATTGTAGTGCAACTCCATGCCACATGTTTCTTTAAAGGATTTTATTTAGCGTGATAAGCTGCGTCTCAGTATTCTCCAAACAATGGTGGTCCTCCTGCTCCAAATCTATACTCATAAGTAAATTCCGTTGGTCTGAATAATTTCCTTCTTTGACTTCCTGTAGTCTTGTCTCTGTGTGCTGCCACGCGGGACTTAGTCTTCCAATAAGTCAATTTCAGGAGCACAAATAAGTTAGCACAGAACCAAACCTCAAACTTGGGTAATTAAACCTTTTAAGACACAAAATCACAAAACGGGATGCATGGGTTATAACATTAAAACATTAAAACGAGATCATAGGTTAAACATACAAATTAAAAAATCATAAAACCATTAGTAACAGATCACTCCGAGTAGACTCCTTCCCCGGCCCTTGGGACCTGGTTATATATCCACGATCCTTGGTTAAGGCAAGATTGAGACCCCTTAGATCTGACTCCGCCAGGTTAATCCTCGTCCCCGGAGCGTCCTCAAACCCGTTTTTTTGATCGTTTTGCTCCTCGGCTCTAGGAGTTCATTGGTGCGCCTCCTCGTCCCTCTCAGGCTTGGGAGCGTTTGCTAGCGGCGACAATACTCAAGTGCGAAGAGAGTCGCATGATACCAGTGCTTGACTGAAGTTATGACGCGTTCTAACTACATTTGTGTAGAAACTGCGTTTCTATGAAGAGTGCCGACTTAACTGTGGGTGAGCCTGTAGCTCGTACTAGTGTATTTTGGGACAGGTAGGACGCGTGTTAAAGTGCCAGAGGAATCAGTTGGTAAGAGGCCAACTGAACAGTGGCGAGTATCTGATATATTTTAACCTTTGTTAATACAACGGGCAAATGAGCGGTTGAGTGGCGTAGGGGTCATGTGATACCGGTGCTCGAATGAAACGAAGACAGGCTCGAATTACGTTCACGTGCAAAGATTGTTTCCGGCAAGAAGCCTAGCTGAAATAATCTAAATTATGTGTCCCGTGTTAATATCTGTAAATGTAACTGGCGTACGTGCGATTGAGTTCCGGAGCAATAGATTGATATTGGCGTTTGACTGAATTGGTCGCCAGCTGCATAGTGTGGGTGATTTCCACTTGCGGAACCAAAGGAGTATGTGCCTTATGTTGCCATCTACCAGAACGAATCCCACGTGTTAGTCTGAGTGTCAGAAGAATCGGTTGATATCAGTGTTCCGTTGTAGCGCAGCTTCGTTCCACACGGTTATCTAGGGAATTTAGCTCAATGACCCGCGTTTCAATTTGTTCACCAAACGACATTGGAATTCCTCTTGCTCTTGTGGTGTAACTATATGGAACGCCATTTCTCTACTAAAGGGCACACAAGCCACACCAATATTTTATGACTATTAAGGCGAACTAAATAATTGCGAGTATGTATCCAATGTTGATATCCGTCGAGATAACTGGAACGTGTGTGCTTGGGTGTCAAGGGCATAAATTGATAACACCGTTCAAGTGAAATAATGACGCGGTTGAGTTACACTGGCGTACAGAAGAGATTTCTGTGAGGAAGGCGAGCTGGTTATGGGTAGGGATGTGGTTCGTATTAATGTCTGTTGGAATAGGTGGCGCATACGTGCTCGAGTTTTAAAAAGGTCAGCTGATACAGGTGTTCAACTAAAGCGACTTTCAGATACATTTCTGTTTTTTCAATGGTTGTCTGTAGGGCGAACTGAGTGATGTCGTGCATGTTCCTTGTATTGATAGCCGTTATGATATCCGACACATGTGTCTAAGTGGCAGAAGGATCGATCGATACCAATGTTCTATTGTAGTATGCCTCTGTTCGGGAAGCTTAACGAGCGGGTAGTATCTGGTGTAGTGTGCTGCTTCTTCTCAGGTTGTTCTCCAGACAGAACTAGAATTCCTCCTGCTCCGATGACGTGACCATGTGGAGCTCAGTTTTTGAGAGGCACATAAGTCATAGCAACATTTTATCGCTCTCGAATACGACTGAATAATTTTGAGTATGTTCTATATTAACATTTTTTACTATAGCATATGTGCTTGAGTGATTGAGGAATCAAATGGAGCGTGTTTTCCTGGAACAATTTTTGGATACAATCCTATCGTGTGAATTCTTTGTTCGTGACGAGGTGCAAGAAGGTTGTGTGGTTTTGTGTAGCTTGTGGTTACTTTGGTTTATGGTAGTCGATTTCGTGGGCTGAGAATGTGTAGCATGATTTTCATGCTGAATATGTAACTTGATGTTATCTTTTTCTCTTCTATAGCGTTGGTTAAACGATAATAACTTTATTCTTGAGGTACCTGCTGGCTTGCTGCTGGTATGCTGAAGTGTGTTAATTTTTTATATTGGGCATCAATTTTGGTTTATTGTAGTAGTTACGATGATAAGTGCTTAATAAATTTTTTTGTGGTATACTTACTAATCTGGAGTGGTTGTACGAGACTGCAGGTGGATATGTATCAAGGCAGAAAAAAAGTAAGCAGTATTCAGAAAAAGGCAACAGAAAATAGTCAACGGCTGCTTTACAGTCTCAGGACAAACAGCATTTACACTTACTGACGCTGTAAGAAGGATTTACCGTAATAATTAACGCTTGTGAGGAACGAAGAAACGAAACACGTGATAAAGTAAAGCCAGAATCGTTCTGAGTCGTTAAACTAAAATTTATTTTTTGTTTATAGAGATTTGATTTTTTTATTTATTTAGTGGCTTATTTGAAGAATTCAAAGAGTGATTCTTGTTGGTCTCAGAGGATATAACCGTAAAGTTTAAGTACAACTTGAAGATTTTGCGGTAATCAGGTGGATATATTTGCTTTTAGATCTGAAACAGTACTAAGAATGTTAGCACTGCTAACCGTGATAGTCTTTTCTTAGTGTTGAGACTATTAAGAAAAAAGTAATTATTTCTTTACTATGCTTCATTTTCTATTTTAGTCTACTTTTTTGCTGAAAAAAATTTTTTTTCAATGATAAGTTGATGTTGCTTTATGATGCATTGAAGTATAGGATTTTTTCAGTTCCAATAATTATGGGACAAGTTAAAATTTAATCGGATACGGTTTGTGACAAGAAATAATTTTACCGCTAAGGAACTTCGCAAAAAGTTTTTTGTTAACTATATAATTAGCAGTACAGCTAATTATTAATTTATGTGAGAACTGTGATAGGGCATAAAACTTTTATTTTTTATGCTGGTGTTTCTTGGTGAACTGAACAAATTTTAAATCGCTTGACGTGTTGAAATGGAAAAGAGGTTTAAGTATTTTTGTTTTTAAAAGTTGCAGGTCATTTTCTTTCTTGTCAATCTAAGCTGTCTCACTATCGATAAAGCCATCAAAGCTTCTGAAGAAACATTAATTCAAGGGCGGCAGATTATATGAAATTCTACTGAATAATGGAATTAATTTTAAAACGATTTTTTTGTTCTTAGAGGTGCTAGTGGATAAGATTGAGAAATACAATAGACTTAAGGTTTTTTTAAAATTGTCAGTGCTACCTGGTTCTTCTGCGTTTTTTTTTTCGTTTACATTTATTGAAAATAACGGATTTTACTTATACTCAGTTGTTGTTACATGAGCAAAAATAGATGGTCTTTGCTGTAAGTCACCTAAGTATATGTGTTGTTTTTGTATTGTTAACAAAACATATGATAATTATCCTTATGATTCGCGTCGTGTCCCCACTTCCGTTGCATTATCTGCTATTTCAACGTTTATCACTGACAAATATTTCTTTTCCATAATCACTTTTAACAGTCTTAGTGGAAGAGGTATTTTAGTTTTTTTCGTGTTTCTATTTCAGATATACAACCGTTTGAAGTACCCACTTTATACCTGTTTGCAAATAAACCAGCAAACACCTTTACGAAAAGAAGCAATTCTAGATGTCTTTACTAGTTGGCATTTGTTCTTGTCTTACTCACTTATAGTTATTCACAAATAGTTAAGAGTACAAAAGAAAAAAAAAAAAAAGGAAAAGAAGAAACAGAAATTCTGCAAGTTAGAAAAAAAGTGTGTTTTTTTTTTGTACAACTTTAATTCTATAATTTGTAAAACTTATGTGTAAAAAATTGTAGAAAAAAAAAATTTGTAGGACTTATTGGGTTTTTTTTTGGCGCTTGCAAGCGAAAAATACCGTTATGAAATTGAAACATAGTAACGGTTTTATTTTCAAGGCAATTATTTTTTCAAATTTAATTATTTTCAACAATTGAACGAGTTGTATGACCATATAGTTGTCTATAGGTTTTGGATGATAATTTTTGTAGTAAACAATTGCTACAGACTAATTTTTTTGCAGTTTTAATAGCTGTTCTTTGATCACATTAACTGTTTTTTTAGAACGATTTATTGGTTCTTCATTGTTTATGTTTTGAGCGTCGTTTAAGAAAGCCGTTATAAAAATTTATCTAAAAGTGTAAAGTTTTGAAAGTCAAGGATATCTTAAAATTTCTATTTTTTTTATTTAAATATCTTTTTGCTGGCTTAATAAACGTGCCAATTTTCTTCTCTAAAATACCAATAAAATATTATAATTAAATAGAAACTAATAAGTTGCAAGATAAAGACTTAAATTTAAAGTCAAAAAAAGTTGGTATATGCACCAGTGCTTTGCAAATATACGACATTCACGTTCTCAAATGAAGTATGTTTGAAAATTCCTGTTTTTGCCTATCAACCGGCAAAACAAAACATACATACGCTTCCGCCGTTTCTAGATTTTGCAATCAACAACGCAAAGGAGGTGCATAGAAAACCAAACGTACAAAAGAAACAAAAAAGAAGGTTTTTTTTATCATTGATTGACACTTTCTCAAAATAATATTTGTTTTCTAAGCTTTTACATATCTACATATATAAAGATGACTGCCATCATTTATTCACAAATAAGCTTTCCGCTTAGATATGTTTGAACTTTGACTGTAATCTTTAGTCAACGTAGATGATAAGAGTCAATAAACTCAATGTTTTGATGTCCAAATATCAGTACCAGTATGCAGAACGTAAGAATGGCATTTATATGACCATAACTGCGAGGTTTATTGCTGTTGAAATTTCAGTTTCAGGAAAATAGTGGTGCTAAAACAACAGAGCACCTGGTTAACTTTAGTACAGGCGTTCTAATGAAAATAGCTACAATGGTCTCTATTTAATGACTGGGCTGTCACCAAGAAAGTTTCCAGTACCCAAACAGTCACGCGACTCACTTTCTTCACTGTCAGCTATTTCATTTGCAACCGATGGCAACATATTATCAACCTATTAAATTGTTTTTGAATTTATGCTCTTTTATTCCTAATTTTTTCGTGGGGAATTTGATCAGCTGGACTTTGTAGTGTCAATATTTTGTGTAAAAGTCCTGAATGGACTTAGGATCTTAATGAGATGGCCAGACATACGCAGCCTGTGTGCCTGACTTTTTTTTATCTGGTTAAAAATAAGAGACAACTGTTTTGCTTTGTTTCTGAGTTTTTTCCTTTGACAAGGAAAATGTGATCTGTTCATTTACTTTTTTTTTCGAGCCATTTGACCGTAACATTTCTTTTTTTACAGTGATATTTGTAATGATGAAATTATTTGTTAAACTATTACGTCGACTAGTGGTTTCAGCTACAAACTTCATCGCTGTTTTCTTTCCAATTTTATTTATAAATCAAAATACCGTTATTATGTGTATATTCAGTTTGTTTGAGTTGTCAAATTTTTTCAACTCAACACTCAGTGAGTGTCTTACCACTCTACTTTTCATTTTATTTTATTCTCAATTACCCATTAGTATTTATAGCGTAACGTATCACGTTGCGATACGTCAAAGGAAAAGGAAAACGAAAATAATGGCGTAAAATTGAGTTTCGTTTTAAGAACCGTTTATTGGTCAAAAATTATCGTTCATGAGACAATGCAGAAATTGAAGCTGTCATTTGGCTGATGATTCAGGATGTTAATTTGTGCTTTGTTGAAGCTGTTGCTGTTGCTGTTGCTGTTGCTGTTGCTGTTGCTTTGTTGTTGTTGTTGTTGTTGTTGTTGTTGTTGTTGTTGTTTTTATTTTAGTGTTTATTGGGCTGCTGGCACTGCAAGCACCTGTACTGCAGCATTATGACGGCATATTTAACGTAGTTTGTAGCACAGAGCAAAGTCTAAAATACAATACTCAATGTACTCTGAAGTCATCATCATCTCAATAAAAGCACTGTGAATTGGCATTGACTTTCAAGACAAATTTCGAATAGACATCATTTTCTTTTTACATTTAATTCTCGCTTACCTTATTTTTCTTAGTATTGACAGATAATAGTTGTGTAGTAAAACCTTACAGCAGTTATCACCATTGCTAATAATTTCGTTATCACAAGGCAAACATCTTTTGGTTTCTAATAGAATCTTATTTTTATTGTCAAATGACTCATTTAAATAACTAGTATTAGTTATCAAATGTCTTTTTTATGCTCTCATGAATTAGCTGTACTAATTATCGTAACGTGTGAAAGTTGAGGCAATTTATCGCATTACGATCATCTCGATACAAAACTTTATTTGTTTAAAGCAATTTAAGATATTTTTGCTTCTTTTTGTTTTTCTAACAAATCGTTTAAAAACAATAACTCCAGAATGATATTCAGATTTTAATCTTTGTTTCCCTCGTTTCAAAAAGATTTATGAACAAACAGAAAATGGTCTAAAAATTTTACTTTTCAAATTTCTTTGACTTATACTATGAAATTAATTGAATGAAGATGTTTTTGTATTTTTCTATTTTCGAACAATTCCGCTTCAGTCCAAACATTCATGTGCTATTTTAAAATGCCGTTAGGGAACCAGGGACAACAAAGTTATCAAAAATTGTGGGTCATTTTCTGATAATGCTCAAAATGGTCAATTTGTAGCTCAAAGAGGTCAAAACTGAGGCTATTTTCAATAGTTCTTACGACTGCTTTTACGGTTAATGCCTGCATTCTCAGTCACTGATTCGTGCACTTAGTATTGTGCTGAAAATTTCTGTCTGAAAAGTTATGATCTTTACGTGGCTCTTATAATAAATAATTGTTCCGTTTTTGGATCTTTATTTAATAAACTGTGGTAATCAAGTTGAAATCTTGTTCTTTTGAGCAAGACTTTGATCAATTTTGCTGCAAAATTTAAAAAAACTGATTTTTTTCCTTTGGGACTGTACGCGGAATTTGTTTTTTCAGCTAATTCTTTAAATTTGTTACTTTTTATTTTTATTTCGTTGTCTGTTTTCCGAATGCTACAGTAAATTAAGTGTTTCGAAAAAAATTTTACGAGTTATCAGTAACTGATGGTGGAAAAGAAGCAAACTAGCCTGCTATTAAATATGCTGTTTAAGCAGTTCTCGACCACCACCTACAACTTTTGAC